CATGTTTCCTCATGATGTTTTCCTTCACCGCTGAGCACGGGATAAGTCAGGGCTTAAAATTAACAATTTCATTGGTGCCGGCACCTGATCGAACTCAGGTTGCCCGAGTACTCGTACATTGCATTAAAGGCGAGCGCCCGGATACTGAGCAATCACAGCTCGACTAGAGAACGATGGTTAGAGGTAATTAAAAATGCTATAAATAAAAAGTTTTCGACAGATTGGGTTAGAATTGATTATTAAACAAATTAAACTCGATAAAATTCGTAAAATACTTTTAATTAAACTCAACATTTCATTCAAAACAATTCAAAACTCCTACATTTTTTCAGCCTCCCATTATTAATACAGTAACCGTAACAAGTCGGCTTTTCAACCTGTCGATGCGACGTTATAGATAAATATATGAATGTAAGTTTATTTTGAAACTTGAATACACTTGTCGGTCACCCCGGGGACCTCTTTAACGGGTTTCTTTATCAAATTGTCCAAATTGGGAGCGGTCGCCGCGGACTGTGGAGGCGACACTGAGCGTAATGGAAAACTAAATTGCTTTGTGATAGGTCGGCGGAGTTTCAATGGACTTTGCGGGGCTTTGATAATATTTTCATACTCATTTTTGTGCTGTATTGAAGAGTTTACCACGACAAACAGCAGTTGGAATGGAATTAATGGTGTATACATTCATTGCTGTGTATAGATCCATCTTTCCTTATCAATTAACCTGTGTCTTTAGCACTACTAGTTAATTTACTCTGCAAATGTTGTTGCTGGGTAAGTTAATTTTTTGAGTAATCATTTTAACAGCATTGAAGTCAGCTTAGCCGTTACAGTATAAAAGGAAATTTGTGAATTGTGAACTAACAGTGTTCCAATCTATGATTAAAAATACAGATAACAGTCAGTTTCACTCGATGGCTGCGAATAACAAACTGGCGGGAAAATGACATCGTTTCAGCTAGACAGTCGCTTAAAAGGGGATATGGGGAGGTAGGGGTAGAAGAAAAAGTCAATTCATTAAGCCACCGGACGCGCCGGGGCTGCAGAGCGGGAAAATAAACGCTGGCATCGCCAACCCGGTTAGGACTCCGTGCGGACTTAATTTTCCATGACTGACAACAGGCTCTGTCTCCAACACATTACGTGTCACCTTTCTTGGCTATGCTATGATGGAGATTCAGTTCAATTTCCGAATGGAAGACTTTTAACGCATGATAATTTTTTGTGTTTATCAATTATAATACAATTTTATATTAACATAAATGTGTATATTCGTGCAGTATAGTATAAAATTAGCTGGATTTAATTAATACATGTATGGATATTGTAAGTAATAATACATATCAAAATGTACATTCAAATTATTTATAATGTCCATCAAATTCATAGTGCTCCATACGTAATAGATCAGAGGATACTAATGTCCATCAAGCGGGTAGCTGTGATTTCGGCAAAGCCTTTCTGAATATTCAATTTTATTTACAAAGAGACTCCTCTAATAAACTGCCCTAAAAAGAGTCCCAACTCACTCGCCCACCAGAGGATTTGCAGTGGGGAGACAAGGACGGAAGACGCGAGAAAGGCTTGGACCCCTAAGCTGACGGCAGAGAGGACTCCACTTGATCCCGGGTCGTCGAGGGTCCCTTTAATATTTGAAATCGTCTGTAGACCCGCTATAATTAGTTTCTCATTCTTAGCCCATTGCAGCTATTAAAAATTACACGCTTTTTGAATTATGGTGTGTTTAATCAAGTAAATTTTATGTTTCGCCAAGCATTCGTTTCTGCGTCGTAACCTTTTTATGTGAGAACGTGGTAAACGAGCCGGCGGTTCACCTGATGTTAAGTGATAACCGCCGCCCTTTGGCATTTGCCCGCTAGCTCGCTCAACAAAGAAACGCAGAAGTATAACTTCCAGTTCACGCCGGTCTTCTGTGAGGTCGTGGTACTTACCCGGGCGGACCTGCCCATTCGTGCAACAGCGGAGACCGTTGCGTGGCCCTACCACCTGCGACATTGTCATCACTGAAGTGCTTGAATGTGATCAGTGTGCGCTCCAATCTAACTAGCGAAGGGCCGAGTATAAAGGAGATCGTTTTAATACAAAACAGAAATGGACAGAGAATGAAGGAAAAGAGAAAATGTAAATAAATTATTTGAGCAGCGACATTTCACTTTCTGCGACTTAGAGGCTTATAATTTAAAACTTATTATAAACATTTGGAAGATGAGGAGTTTAGACTTATATGTTAGCTCATCTATATTTTTAAGAGTTTGAGTTTTCCTGGTGGCAAACAGAAGTAAATATTATTGAGAAACGGATAACCTCAGTTACACTTTGAAATGGATTTCTACCATCGATTCCTGTTGCATATATTTTCCACACAATTTCTTAAAATCGAAAATGTCCTTGTGGAACAAAATTAGTTTCAATTAATCCGTAGAAAGGCGACAAGGTCAGCCTTGTGGTCTTTCTACGGTTATGTATAACTCACCATCGATGAGGGTAAATATTGCGATCGGACGCGGTGTGTCAAACGTTGCTAAAAAGCGGCCCTAGAAATCGAACGGGATGCAAACACGAGGCTCTGAGTGGGCCCCGTCGCTAAGGGCCCTCCACGTCGATTGTCTTAACGCCACTCGCGCGTAATGGGTCGCGCCCTTTAGAGGATGTTGCGCATTTAGGGACCCGCGTCAACACCGTGAGCTGGGCCCCTGATGGAATTTTTGTCGCGGCGCTTTCTGTTGTTGTCGTCTATTGTTTCCGCTGGTGCGCACTTGTTTGTTCGGCCGATCGGTTGTTTTGACAGTTGAGTGCCAGCGCTTGGCATCGATGGAGACACGGGTTTCAGTTACAGGTGGCGTATTGCCAAATTAATTTTGTCGCTGATGATCGGCTTTTGTAATAAATAGTGCGCGATCTACAGACTGTACCAGAAATTGTGTGCAAAAAGCATGTGAAACACGCAGGACGCAGGAAAATTGGAAAATTATTGACGAGTTTGGAAAAGGAAACAGATTTAAGTCATCTGACTCTACACTAAATGTGGTAGAGCCACGCAGCAGCCTCGTCTGTTGCACGAATGGGCAGGCTCGTCCGGGTAAGTACCACGACCTCACAGAAGAGCGGCGTCAAGTGGAAGTATAATAATTTCGCGTTTTGTCTGGTGAGTGAGGGAGCCCAATTTTCAAAAAGTTTGTCGACGCATCTGCAAACCCACAGGTGTAGCAGTGGGCTGCGGTATTCACTTAACATCAGGTGAACCGCCTGCTCGCTTAACAACTATCACAAAAAAAAAATCTTGTAATTAATCGAAAACACTCAACAAAAAGCTTGAATGGAAAAAGTCAATCGCGTTCAGCGAGCGACTTCATTCCTCCCACTTAACCATAATATGTGATAAAGTGTTGAAGGACTCTCCCTCTAACCAAACAGAGGGCGCATACTCCCCTCGTACCAATGTACCGGTGGTTCTCTCGCGAGCGGTAAACTCTCTTTGTGCTTTCGTGCGGGGTTGAAATGACTGGATATTTCGGCGAGTGCCGTGGTACGAGGGAGGGCGAGGGTCGTGGCGGAGTAAACGCGGCCGTTTAATCGATTTTTGTAACACTACGGATTCCGCGCGGATTCTTTATGTGTTTGTTGCGCTTTATGCATACTTGGGCCGAACAAACTGATGCCTGTTTGTTCTGGCGTCGCGGCGCGCAAACACGGGGGCTGACGTGTAGCTATTGTCTGTCTGAATGCGGCGTTCGACACGGGACTTGAAGATATCGATGGGTAATGGAAATCAGGCGACATGGATACAGGTAATACAGGTACCACCTAGCCACGGTTCAAGACAATATAGCGGATTGGCAGACTTCGTATATCTTTGAAAATTTATCAACATTACCTAGTGGTACGTAATTGTAACTAATGTTTTGAGGCCATTACAAAATATGTAATGACATTGTGTTGCGAACGACAATATTGTGCCGTTCACCTAATTGTATGTTTTATAAGGAAAGCTCAGACTTATTATTTATTTCCTGATGTTCTTTCAATTCTATAAGACGAGTCTGAGAAAAGTAACTCGATCTGTAAAGTCCTAAATTGATTCTGTATGGACCAATTAATAAATGCTGCGATATTGCATTAATTTTTTTTAATCCTTTTGTTTAGTGTTCAATAAGATTGAAATTGTTCTTTTTATAATGCCAAAATTGCTCAAGCTTCTTAAAATAAGTGAAAAAAAAAAAAAACATAAAATTTGTCACTTCCAGCTGTTCAGAATGACGTCGAAATATTGCTGAATATTAGTGAAACTGTCAGTCAGTCATCATCATCATCCTCCTACCCTTATCCTACATGGAGTCAGCACAGCATGTGAATCATGTTGTAAGCGGTTTCGGCTATATTTTTTACGACCGCCCTGGTTGATGTCAACCCTCCTTGAGAAATAAACACCCAAATCCGGAACAATTATTTGTAGGTGACACATATATTTGTCCCGAGTGAAATCGAACCGACGACCCCGACGCCGAAGCCAGTAGCTTAGCAACGCCTCCACCGAGTCATAAAACTGTTAGTCAGTCAGTGAGTGCGAGTAAATAAAAGACACTACGGTAGTACCACGCGAACGGAACGATACATAATAATTTCACTTTTCGTCTAGTCAGTGAGTTAACCCGGGCCCACTTATTTAATTGTTGCAACGCATCTTAAACCACTCGTGCCTAATAGATGTCCAATGGCGGCGGTAATTAAGAGATTACCGCCTATCAGGTAAATTGTTGTCTTAATTGGCAACTTTAAACACGTTCAAAAATATTATTTCCAGGGGAAAGAAAATTAGTAAAGATGTACAAGTTCTAGTGAGTGACACATACCCCCGTCATAGCTCACGTGCATAGGGCCCACTACACGAGAATATATCCAATCGATAATCGGCAGTGATCGCGATAAGCAGTCGGGCGCTATCGCCAGCGCCTGCGACTTGGGTCCGAGTCATTAAGCGAATGATGCCGCGTCAGCCCACCGTTGCGGCGGCCGAGATTGAGCGATGGCGTACCAGTCGCATAATACCCGCCACCTGCAACGATCCGAGCTACGGAGTACGAGCATTCAACGGTGCCCAGTCAGTTGAACGCGGCGAGCTGATTTGGCAAAGCCCAAGTCATAGGCTGCCGACGGGAGAGCTGTTCGGAATGAAGCTCTACTATAAAACAGGAACAGACATGTTCAATCCACACAACATCTGGAGTCGTTGTTTCCAAAGAAGTTTTTTAGTGTAAGAAGATGGCATACGAGCTGGCGGTTCACCTTACGTTAAGAGATATCCGCCGTCCATGGAGATTTGCAACGCCCGTAGTGTCACTAATGCGTTGCCACCTTTCAATACTCGTAAAGTGGGCCCCGGTTACCTCACTCAACAGATGAAACGCAGAAGTATAACTCTTCCAGTTCACGTCGGTCTTCTGTGAGGTCGTGGTACTTCCCCGGAAGAATCTTCCCATGTGCGTGCATGTTCCACGTGCAACGGCGAAGACTGCTGCGTGGCCCTACAGTAGTTAAAGGTGTAAGAGAGCTGTGCACTCTACATCGAGGTAAAGGCAGACTGCTTGTGTATCTGTTAGATGGAATGTGCAATAGTTACATAGAATGGTGTGTTTCACAATTATGAAAGCGCGGACCCAAAGCACATGGCCACACAAACTTTCGGATCGATCCCCGGATGCCATCTTAGCAATTTTCTTCCTAAATAGGAAGATTGCAAGTTTTTAAGGAGGTAAATGAATGTTCATTAACGAAGTTTTGGTTTGAATTTAGTGAATTTTAACGGGTTCTTGAATTGCTTTACGAGTTTTTCTGAATAGTTGGACCGATCACTGACACTGGACCGAACACTGGACCGATCTACAGCACAGCGATGATGTCACACGTTACCGTTCACGCGTCCGCTTCAGCTTACCGCTCGGGCCGAGCGCGCAGGCAATATTAACTGTCACTCGCAAGAATCGCGGTGATTAATAGTAACGGCGGAGACAGACGGACGCGGGCGCGCCGGCGTGCTCATTTGCTTTCGTGTCCGTAACGTTAATTGCGCGAGTGTTATTTGAGCATTGTTGGGGCTTGATTAAAACACCGCGCCAGCGATTATCGACGCCGCTATGGGGCCGATGGGATATCGCTGACATAATGCGTTACAACTTCACTATAATATCGGTGGCGTTTGTTCGTGTTTTATCGATGTAGTCGTACAAAGTGAGTAGTGTTAGTACCTTTGCAAAGTCGTACAAAGTGAGTAGTGTCAGTTTTTGTGTGAAAGAGTAACAAACATCCATAGATTAAAGGAACGCTAGTAACTCACTTTCCGTAGGTAATGCAACGGCTCGTAAGGAAAACGCCTCGTTTTGTGAATATAGGAACAGGACGTACACGCCCTTTATCTACAAGTCCTTATGGAAGTAGCTATGTAACTAACGGCCGGTCATTGAATATAGGAACCGGGCATTAGTCGTACTAATCCTTTCAGTATCTCTAACTGGCTCGTCAATTGCGTGCACAGGTGCCGAACTAAAATAAGGCCCCAATGGGCATCCGTCATCGTCGACGTCAAAAAGAAAGATTGGGCCGATCTTCTAGGCTTTACGGTGTCAGCCAGTGATGTGTCTGTGTGGCCTTCGAAAAATCTATCTAAACATATATCTATATATATATATATATATATATATAAGAGATTTCCACCGATAATTGACTCATCACGATATCTCTGGAACCATAAGGCTTAAAGACTTGAAATTTGGTAGGAATATTTCTTTCGCCGGTAGAGGTCAGCTATAATATCCATTATTACGAAATTTCACAAAACAACGTTTGCCGGGTCAGCTAGTAAATGTATAAATCTATCTGTCTATTCAGCAACAGCAATTTTTTTTTTACCAGCTAATGACTTATTCGTCAAATTAAAAGAGGATAAAATAAATTTAAAGTGAAGGATTATTTCAAGCATTTGAGCTTTGATACATTGATACTTTGAGCTTGATACCCTCGTGGAAATGAACTTAAGTTTCCCTACCTACTTAAATAAATATCAATAAAGGAGGCATAGGCCTTCTTCGTCATTCGCTCGTTTCGTTCTTGTCTTCGTCTTAACAATTTGTATCTTATCCTTTAAACGAGCAATTCTTGTATGTATATATATATATATATATATCGGGATCTCGGAAACGGCTCCAGCGATTTAAATGAAATTTTGTATGTGCGTAGATTCGGGGGTGAAAAATCGATCTAGCTAGGTTTCATTTTTAGAAAATGTCCTTTTATCCCTGTTTTTAGGGAATGAAAAATATCATTCGAATATGATGGTAAAACGGTCGTTTAGGTCTGTTTGCCAACTTTAATTCCTAGCCTGAGAGGTATATTAAAAAAAAGTTAAAAAAACTTGATACATTTGGCGACCCGTGTGTATCCTAAAATACATTGATTTCATTAAATATTAATTATTAAAAATAATGTCTGAATAAGCTAGATAGATACAACCATCTGGCGTAGAAAAACTGATTTGTCATTACAATCTGAAGGATTGTAATGACAAATCAGTTTTTCTATTACAATCCTTCAGTCAATTATAAAAGTTATGTGACATCGAGCGTTTCCAATTGTATAAATTGTACAAATTGCAGAAGCATATCGTAAAGTGACATCGGGTGTGCTTGAGTAAACCAATTTAAAATCCGGACGCGTCAATAGTGTTGAAATCGAGGTCGTTATTGAAGACCGGATAGGGCAACACTGCCAGCGAGCCAGCGACGAGGCGCTCAGTGTTATTTGATAGGGCCCCGCGCCTTGTTAGCGCTAAGCGGCCGCATTCAAATCTCAATTAAGTTATCACAACAATACCGCCCCCTCCCGGCCCCACGGATTAAGTGTTTGTGAGAAATCCATAGCTCGCCTCCGCTCCGACACGACGAGATGAGACTCCACTTTCTGTTGAGCTCCTTCTCTTCAATGGGACGTATTGGACGGATGAAGTTTTTCTAAAAACAATTCAGACTCACCAATTCGCGCGATCTAAATGCACTCTTGGTTACAGAATTATGAACATAGGAGACGATAAACTTCATAAGTTTTATAATTTGTCAATCAAAAAAATATTAACATTGTTAAACACTAACTAAACAACAACAATTTTGACGGTGGTAGGGCCACGCAACAATGTTGCACGAATGGGCAGGTCCGGGTCAGTACCACGACCTCACAGAAGATCAGCGTGAAGTGGAATTATGGAAAATACTTTCGCGTTTCGTCTGGTGAGTGAGGTAGCCCATTAACATTTGCAACCCTACGGGTGTTGCAAATGTCCATGGGCGGCGGTTATCACTTAACATCAGGTGAACCACCAGCTCGTTTGCCACTTTCTCATATTATTTTTTTAAATGTTACTCCACTCGATAACGCCGCACGCAAGAAAATACTTGCAATTTTACAATTTCATTGGTTCTGGCGCTAGAATTTAAGTTCGGATTCCTGTAGTATACTAAATTTGGAGTGTGCTCTCGATCGCGAGCTTCCAGGATATCCAACGAAATCTCCAAAAAAGTTGATGAAAACTCTTATTAGTATTATTTTAACTGGTGTTTAAAAGCCAGCAGTAAACACACACAATGGGTCATGTTTAAGCGCTCCTTTGTTAGTCCTCCTTTATCCATGGTACGGTTGTGATTGTAGGAATTAATCTTCTCCTGCGCCAACTCGACCCGGATCATAATTTAAACACGCTAGATTTTACCCGTGATTCTGTCCGTGTGTTTTATTCTTTAGGAAATAAAACAATAAATTCTATTCTATGCCAATATAATTTAATAATTATAATACAATTTACGTCGCTTGTCATATTTATCATAATGTACAAACGTACCTTCTCTTGTTACAGTTTCTTCTTTTAATTTCCAAGTGTTTGCTGAAAAATACTCATCCTCTTAATTTTACACCATTTTCGTGATGTTGTCTGTACAATAAAGAATAAATAAATATTTTAACCACAATCCTCCTACAACTCCTATTAGCGAGCATCAGGGTAATATCATATACAAACATACACACAAACATTATCAATAATATTAGTGCGATACCGACGCTCGCATCCGTCTTGAATATCGCATTCAAATATCAATGATCGCTGGGGACGTTAAACGAATTTACACTCGTACTAATTATTTTATTTACCCCGCCGCCGGCCGCCATTGAGCCGCGAATGAATGGCGAACGGACGACACCCGATACGCGAACGGGCTAATGCGCGGGAAGAGTTTGGGGGCAAGAAAAGGGCACGGGTAACGCGACACTGGGCCGAAACAAAGCGGCTCGGATGTTCATTAGATGTATGTTTATTGTCGTTGATTTTTCACAATTGAGCGGCGCGGCCTGCAAGGACTCGCCGGTTATTATGTTGGCGGATTTTGAAGTATATTTGAGTCCGAGGGGCCAGTGTGCGCTCAGAAAAATTTTCTGATTGGTCTCGAGTACCAACCTGTTGACGGGCCAGTGAGCTACAGCAACTTTGTGATTGGTCTTAAATACGAACTTGTTGATGCTAATGAGGTCTAGTCCAGTCTTGTTCACTTTTCTTGAAGTTGTGAAAGCTCCGCGATTCTCGCCCGCAACACTCAAGACAAGCGGCTCGTGCTGTCATCTCACTCAGCTCTTTTTAATTTGAGAACGGGGCAAGCGAGTTGGTTGTTCACCTGATGTTAAGTGATAATCGCCGCCCATTGACATTTCCAACACTCGTAGGGTTGCAGATGCGTAGCCACCTTATAATAAAGTGGGCTCTGGTTCTCATTACACGAAACGCAGAAGTATTGTTACTTGCAATTCACGCTGGTCTTCTGAGAGGTAATGGTACTTCCCCGGTCGGACCTGCCCATTCATGCAACAGCGAACACTGTTGCGTGGCCCTACCACACTTAATTCTCAAATTCTATGTCTATTTATATCATAATCACGAAATACAAAGTCTCAAAGCTTTTACAAGCCCCAATCGTCGTGAATAATCGTATCGGTCATTTTAACAACAAACGGCGGCTCGCGTGCGAGAAAGTATTCGGCGCGAAAGAAATTACAGAAGAGCGGGAAAAATTCGAGGCGTTCATCGCTCAATCAGCGGGACAATGGCGATGCGGTCAGCTCCATCTAGCGGACGTCAGAAGCATACGTCCGCTTCGCACGGGCGCTCGAGTTTGACCGTAATAAGCCTCCTACTGTTTGCGATCGTGTCCGAACCGAGAGGACACTACTGTCACATGCACTACAAGCTATTTTGTACTTTGGTGTAAACAATTATAGTCTCTTTCTACGTACAGCCCCGTGGGTTATAGGTCTGTGGGATCGACGGAAAAAAACCATAGACATTGTGCTATTATTCTAGGCGTCAAATCGAAATAATACGTCAGCGTCGCTTATTATTTAGAAGATTATCGCCCGCTGTTTTTCTTGATAATTGGGTGAGAAATCAAAGATCCGTGAATGGACGGTTGTGGTAATGTTTGGGGGCAAATAACTTTTGTTTTCCAACCCCTATTGTTACCATATAGGGATGGATATCAAAGGTATTTATAAATTTTCAAAATAATGTTTAGGAGATTCTAGTGTATTTATTATTTTTCGTTTTTTTTTTGTGTGAAAAGTCGCCAAGCGAGCCGGCTGTTCACCTGATGTTAAGTGACCACCGCAGCCCATGGACATCTGTTACACCCTAGGGTTACAGATGCATTGACAACCTTTGAAAATTGGAAATTGGGCTCCGGCTACCTCACTCACCAGACTAAAGGCGAAAGTATTTGTCATACTTCCACTTAACGCCGGTCTTCTATGAGGTCGTGGTACTTACCCGGACGAACCTGCCCATTCGTGCGTGGCCCTACCACAGTTAAAAGTATATTATGTCCACAGTCTTATTCATGATGAATAATTAATTCACGCTATTGAGACAATGTATAACACTCTGGAAAAAGATAAGGTTTACGGCCTTGACAACAGATTTTACAAGCCGGCATGAAATGGAAGTGTGAGTGAGGTAACCGCGGCCCACTTTATTAAAATATGGCAATGCATTTGCAACCCTACGAGTGTTGAAAATGTCCATGGGTGGCTTTTATCTCTTAACATCAGGTAAATCGCCAGCTCCCTTGCCACATTTTCACATAAAAAAAAAACAACACGACATATCGTAAAAATTAGATAACGTCAAAATAAGCATATTTATATGAAACATATTTATATGTACTGCGAAGCCGGTTCACGGTATTGTCTTTCTGCTTCAAAATATATTATATGTAATATTTATATTATTATGAGCCGTGATAGCTCAGTGTTCAGGCTCTCGCCTTTAATTCTTATACTCGAGCAACCTGAGTTCGATCCCCGCAGCCGGCACCAATGAAGTTTTTAACTTTAAGTGCTGACTTATCACGGCTCCGCGGTGAAGGAAAACATCGTGAGGAAACCTGCATATTTTCGAAATAAAAAAAAAATATCGAAAATAAATAAGTATATAAAATTTCGAAAATATGTGAAGTCCGCCAATCCGCAGTGGGGCCGCGAGGAGGCCTTTGCCCAGCAGTGGGACATGTATAGGCTGTTACTTTACTTTACTTTATATTATCCTGTTTTGTACGTGATAATTTAATACACAAACAGAAAATGCCACCTACACATTGTACGGAAAGTCGATAGATACAAGTGATTTAAGACTTTTCCCGCGCTTGAATCGAACCCACGGTCCGCTCCCCCAAAGCCTTTAGCTTAGCAACTGTGATAACGCATCTATTGAAACAACTTACGAGACGGTATGGATACTTAGCTTGCGACACACAAGAGTCCTATTAACCATTAAGTTCACCGACACCAGTTGAATGGGAACGTTGGACTGGTCACGAAATTGCTCCAACCCCACCTTGAGGCGTGGATGATTACGAGCCGCCACATAAGTCTGCCGCGGTGACAACGGTGCATTCGCCGCGAGCGACATCAAAGGACGCCGCCGGCGGCTCCACGCGGTCCAAGTTACGAGAGATTGAACTCCGTCAATACATACTGAACGAATTTATAGGCATTTAGATTTTTGAAGCTATACTTATTCTGGCGCGTTGAGAAAGAATTATGACAGTAAAATTTTCACGATTCGCGCCCACGCCGTCAGTTAAAAAGCGACGTGAGAAAGTTGGCAGCAAAGCGAACAACTTCACATTATTACCATGGCAAACAATAATAACTTTTGATGTTTACCTATAATTCCAAGCTATCTAATTAAACCGTTATCAGCTGCATTTAATTTAATTTTTCACTAACAAAGAGTACTGGCACGGCTGATAAATTTTTAATTAGTTTTCTTTTGCTACGCTAAAGAAGCTATAACTTCTTACGTGCGGTACATAAGTATACACATAGTTTTTCATTAAGCTGGTGCGTTTACTGTTGACAGGTACTTAGCCACTGGTGGTAAGTTATATAAGAGAGAATTTAAGTTCTATCCATAACTAAAAGTATATTCAGCATTTAACATTTCTGATAATGTCCAACATAATTATTCATTTTTGTTGAATATTCGCTTTTTTCTTTAGTTTGTGCTCAACTTTGTCATTGCTTTTTAATTTGGAGATACTGAAGATCTTGGCGCCGCGATCCTCCGAACACACTATGATGGCCAATGAGGGAGGCTGGTGGCTTTCGTGATTTTAAGTCTCACGTAAACCTGACTCCCAGAAGATGATACTAAACTAAAATTGTCTTCCTAATACATCAGAGTGCTTCAAAGATTTATTTCTAATTATTTAGGTTTTCAGCGACGTTTCTAATTTGTTACAAGTTTATGTCACTCGTATATTTTGCCAGTCATTAGTTTATGCTAGAACTACTATTTAAGGATTAAGAAGCAGAGTAGAAACTTTATATCTGGTAGCATTAACAACAGAATTGTTTTTTCATTTTATTTTCTAATTAGCCTTCGTAGGTAGTGGCTATTTTAAATTAGTCGACATAATGCTACAAGTTTCTCCCCATCCCGCCGAATGAGATGAATATTACATTAATCAAAGAAGAAGAAGAAGAGATGAATATTAAAAAGGTATACAATAAACTGAGTCTTCATATTCATAATACTTGTACACCATGTATTATATTCATGTAGTTCATACAATGACAGGTTTGTGTAGGCCTTTCTCCCGCGCGTCCTTCATATCGTCAACTTATTCATGAGGTAAAAAAAAAGGTTTTTAAGAGTGGTAGGGCCACGCAACAGTCTTCGTTGTTGCACGAATGGACAGCTACGTCCGGGTTCGTCCAGACACCACGGCCTCACAGAAGACTAGGGTGAAGTTGAACTTTTTCGTTTCGTCTGGTGAGTGAGGTAGCCGGGGCTCAACTTATTAAAAGTGGCAACGCATCTGCAACCCTACGTGGTGTTGCAATTGTCCATGGACGGTAATCACTTAACATCAGGTGAACCGCCTGCTCGTTTGCCACACATAAATTTCTCTTCTTCTCATTCTCTTCTTTTTTGATCTTACTCTCGAATTGAATAAAACATATTTAAAGCATAACAGGTGCAGGGAGGCTTCGGTGAAATTAAAATACAATTTAAAACAAAAGTAATTAAAATGGATTCAACGACGACAATTGTCCATTTCTAGATTTGAACCCACACAGGGCATGACGCGCTGAGCTACACGGCGCTTGTTGAGCTCTTCTCTACCGCCCGCGCGCTGGTTTGGTGCCAACGAGGTGCCAATAAATCATCTCACCCGCGTCGCCGCCGCCCGCCCTTTTATTTAATATTGTCGTTATAATAAAAACGCGCGTTAACGCATCCAAACCACAGATTATGCAACACAACAGATCGACAGATTCCTGACGATAATATAATACCCAGTTCAGCAGCTATATTTATAAGACAGCATGTTTTAAATTTTACCATATCCGTACACTCTAAAATTGAATATAACACGGCTAAAACATTAATTACACTCTCTAGATATTCAAGATCAAACCTGCTTAAATATAGTTTGAGTGCTAATTAACTATACGAAGTGAAATTTTGTAAGGAAACCTATGTGGTTGAGAATTTTCAGTTTATACAAACACTAGCGACCCAGCCCGTCTTGGCACTGGTAGATACTAATGTGGGCCAATGTGGAGTGGTCTCGTTTGTATAAGCACTGGGATTTGAATTTATAATTTATAGACTTGTTCGTTACATTCTTACATATCTTTTTGATATGAGAAATTATGAGGTCATTGTACGCCAGAGCTCTTCAACTTACGTACCGGGTAGAGGCGTTAACTGATTTCTGGATTAGTGGAAGAGCAAATTTTGTAAACGCTAACACTGCTATTGGTTCATATTCTGTCACTGTAAACCTGATGCTACCAAAAATCAATTACAATGACACTTCGCTGAAACTTCAGCGACATACACAAGACAAATGCTTAACTGTTGTGTCCACCTGAAACATACCTTTATTATTCATCTTTACTTGTTTTTTAGATTACTTATTTGTTATTGTTTATCTACAGAAAATTGATGTGTTATCATTGTAAACCCGGTCGTTGCCACGGTTGCCACTCTGCGTGTAAGATCTATGGCCGCTCGCCGTCCGCGTATCACAGCTGATGACCTTTTTTGCCACACTTCGGGCGGGCTTTTGACACCTGCCCGATGCTGACGCTCGGTCCTTTGCGGTCATCAGCGGCAGCGCCTCGTAGACCCTCAGGCCCCTTCGGCCCGATTTAGGGTGAAATTGACACGTCAGGGAGAGCGCGGCGCGCGGCCACTAATGAAGTTTTTTCACATGCTCAACGTACGAGATATGTCGCGATCGGGAGATTGCGTTTTTGTTAATCTTGCCGCAAGGCATCGCCTTCTCGTTCTACGGGTCCCGGACGTTTTGGTGTAAATGATAAGATGGTTTTAATTGAACTGTTCATCACTCCTGAACTGTGTAAGGAAGGAATACGACACAAATATCTCTCCTAGACAGTATGGACTTTCATTTTCCGAGAATCTCTACACAAGTTAGGAACTTTTTAAGCCTTTTCTACAGTATATCGTTCATGTTCAAATCTTTGATGGATCTTCCGTCTATATTGCATATAAAAAATTATTTAATAAAAATTTTGTGCAACTGTATTGTTAGGATATAATAGAGAACATGTGTTCAAATGCTTCCGAAGAATGACGTACCATAAAAATAAAGTCAACATTTTTACAGATCCCTCAACCAATTTCAGTGGAGCCTAATATTCTTCCGAAGGCGTGACTCTGAGATTAATATTATATATTCAAAGATAAAGTTGTAATGTGAAGAGTTTAATAATACCTGCGTCTTTATTGCTTTGAAATACATATGTCAATGAAGAAAGCGGAAATAATTTCTTGTGCCAGAGTAAAAATATTAAATTATAAATAGTAATAGTAAAATTAATCATTTTTAGAAAATTATTAATCTAGTATCTTTTGAGACGGAAGCAATGAACCACAGTGCGTAAAAAAATTCTGTGCAAACGAGTTCATGGAATTCATACGTGTATAAAGAGATGTCAGATAGAATAAGATGGATCTGAATAAATGTCTAATGTTGGTGGGGAACGCTTGAAGGCGGTATCTTTGTGAGATCTTTACCAGAGCAGAAACTCAGCTGTCCTTCATCCTTGTATTGTCGAAATCAAGGATTGAACGGAGAGGGTTCCCTACGATCTTCATGGGTGAACGAAACTAGCTGCTAAATCTGTGTGCGTTTGACTTTTCGTTTATTTGCAACGATTGTGAAATCTTCTACGGAGTTAATCCCTACCCACCTCCCTACTTACCGTCGTGGCTGGAATAATAGTCAAGCACAACCAATCCGCGACAAAAATGATTTAATATACTATTTTGACACCAGGATATATGGGGGATGTTAGTTACCCGACCGTTCAGCGGTAATACGTATACATTATGGACGGTCCATTTGTTGGTCGGTGTCGGGTCGGCGGGAATGCGGCGGCCGCGCGACACCGGCGCGGCTATCTTGGGCCCGTTACGCGGCCGCGGCAAAAAGATTCGGGCCTCGGCGCTCCGTCTAAAACGTAAACTGTCAGCGGAAAAATTAAAGATATCAGAAAACCGCCCAAGTGCGGGTCGGACGTGCACGAAGATGCCGTACCATTATCATATAAAAACGGGGAATCACGGGACAGACTGAGGTGTTAGACGTCTGATTGTCATAGTTAACCCGGGCTACCGTCAGTTTTTGAATTGTTTATTTTGTGTCCGATCTATGCAGATGGAGCTAATTGTACTTTGTCTTGCGGTTTTTGGGGCTAGATTTTACTTAACAAGAAATTATCATTTATATATTTTTTATTCTGTTTAATAGTAGATATTTGTTGTTACAGCGGCAACAGAAATACATCATCTGTGAAAATTTCAAATGCCTAACTATCACGGTTCATGACATACAGCCTGGTGACAGACGGACAGACAGACAGACAGCGGAGTCTTAGTAATAGGCTCCCGTTTTACCCCATGGGTACGGAACCCAAAAAGACCTCTACGGATTTAGAGCCTGGTCCCTTACTGAGGCTTTAGAGTCTTTTGTTAGTTTGCCTTTGTATGTTAAATAATAACTTAAGTAGATAAACGAGGGATAGAGATTGGCCTTTCGGCAGTAGACAAATCACGAATTGTGACTATGATGAAGTTATGGGCCTACTCATTCCGTCATGGTAACAGTTCTTTTTATATACACTTAATTAAGTAACAGTATTTTATATTTATATTGTAGAACATTTGTAACTCCTCATGTTTATGCAGCCTGTTTGCCCGCACTTATGATTTTTGCTTCAATATTCAGTTATAGCTTGATTAGTGCCGTTACCCACGTGTTGATTTCGTCACCGTAGGTCATGGATTCGATTCTCATTCGGAACAAGTCATTGCGACATCCACAGATAGTTGCAATCCCTACCATTCCGTCTTGAACCACCCGCTGGCTCCCCTGTATTGGGCCATTCATTGCCGCTAATGACGAGTTTGGGAAAAACGTTTAAAGCACTCTTTGTGAAGTCGCACATTCGACACGGCCGACACAACGATCGCCCGATTCCAAGGTTCGAATACAAATCGAGGCCCACTAATGTGCGGTGTGACGAAATCGCTCCGATCCTCTTGGGAAATTCTTTGGATGGCTTAGGAGATAGGACACATTAACCGTTCTGGAATTTTCACGAGAAACAACAAATGAGACTCCCTTGTCTTACATGTTTGATTTATATGAATTATCCGAATACAGTAAGTAAAACTATAGGAGAGCGCTGCGGGTAGTGAATGACGTCTACAACATTGTTTTATTTTTGTGTCCGATTCACTTAACTCAATATAAGGTATATTAAATTAAATGAATCGGACACAAATATAAACAATGTGAATTGAGAGCACCAATTATGTTTTTAATTTTAAATGCTGACTTATCACGCGCTCAGCGGTGAGGGAAAACATCGTATGAATGATAAGAAAAAGTGTTTCTAAGGTATGTGACGTCTGCCAATCCGCAGTGGGATCGTGTGGTGGACTATGCCCTAATAGTGGGTATTACATTATTATATAGAAGAAGCCATTGCTCAACAGTGGTACTTGTATAGGCTGTTACTTTATTTATAAGCTACTAAATATCAAAGACTTGTTCGGTTAGGCGTCATATAATAGATAAAATTCAAACTAGTTTGTAATTAGTTAACAGCAAATCGAAGCTTAAAACGTAATATATATATACACTTTACCAAAATCGATTAAAGTAACGTGCATTTAACACGATCACCTTTAAGCGGAGATTACCAACGAACCTGTTGCCTAATTATCCTTAAAAAACCGTTCGCTCGAGTAACAAATGATCGCACTACTTAATGTCCGCCATCAATTTAAAGCATTTTTAATACTACGAGGTCGCTCCAACTTTTTACGAGTAGCTTACAGTTAATAATAACGTTACGTTAAAGTGTAGCCTAACTCAGGGCTTCCAAAACTGCGTCGCGTGGAACACCGGTGTCATTTAAAGGTTTTTCGACGTTTTCCTGAATTTTATTTTAATAGAACCTCGCGGCAGCCGTGATAGCTCAGTGCCAGGGAGGTCGCCTTTAATTCACCCGAGCAATCTGAGTTCGATCCCCGGTGCGTCATAAAATTGTTAATTTTAAGAGCTGACTTATGACGTGCTCGGCGGTGAAGGAAAACATCGGGAGGAAACCTGCATATTTTTGAGATAATAACAAAAAATATATTAAGAAAATATGTGAAGTCCGCCAATCCGCAGTGGGGTCGCGTGGACTATGGCCCTTATATCTTTACAGAGGAGGTCTTTGCCCTGCAGTGGGACATTTATAGGCTTGTACTTTACTTTTTTTTCTGCTGTTGCATGAATTGATCAGCCAAAGTGTACAGAAAAAGTATTCTAGCGTTTGTGTTTCGTATGATAAGTGCATTGACCTACACCCACTAAAAGGTTGGAATTGCTACTAATACCAATTCCACGGAGGTTGTACATTCCATTGGCGGCGGTAATCACTTAACATCGCCTCTCATAGAATGACTTGATACTGAATGGCGGGTGACGATGACGCCAATGACTTTTATAAAGTTCAAATTATATTAAACTATTAAAAGTTCAGTCTGAGGACCTTCCAAAGCAAGGAAGGAAAATAAATGATCGCTTCCGAGCTCGCTTCCTTCTTTAAAAAAAATGTACGTTTAATATTTTTTGAGGAAAAAAAGACAATACCTACGGAGTTTCTTTCGCCTGTTTTTCTCCGTTAGAAGAACCCCATTACGAAACGGTGGTAGATTTAAAAAACCGGCCAAGTGCGAGTCGTACCATTATCTTTAAACATATTTGAGTGGGGCTGGTCACCCAACCCTAAAATAACTATCGATAGATGAAATTTATGTCTTTTATTTCGATGATGATTTGATTATTAAATGAAATGCGGTTAGCGTTGAAAATTTCTGTGTGTGCATTTGATCCATTACCTTAGCGACTGTGATGTAAATATAATTATTAGTAAGTTAACATTGTTCGGATTGCTTCATCTTTGACTGGAGGTCGATGCATCTACCATCTTATACAATCAATTAAATTTAAACACATTGGGGTTTTCTGACGGTTCGAATATAAGATCTAAAATAGAGTATATTGAATCTTGGCAAAGATTGAACACCACTCAACGCTGTTTAAAGGACTATTTAATTGTGCAAATGCTCTTTATGCTAGCACTTCTTATTTACATTGTAAAATTAAGTTAGAATATTCATTTAATTACAGTAACGGTAAGCAGTAACTTAAATATAAATAAGTTTGTTTGTGGTACGGCCAAACCACAAAGTCTTTGTTGTTGCACGAATGGGTAGGTCCGTCCGGGGAAGTACCGCGACCTCACAGAAGACCTGCCTGCGTAAGGTGGACGTGTTACACTTCTGCGTTTCGTTCGGTGAGTGAGGTAGCCGAAGCCCACTTTATTAAAAGGTGACAACGCATTTATAACCCTACAGGTGTTGCAAATGTCCACGGGCGGCGGTTGTCACTTAATATAAGGTGAATCGCCATCTCGCTTACACGTTTTCACATTTTTTTTTTTAATAAAAATTCATTTAATATATTTTATTTAATGAAAATAGTTTATAAGAATATTTGATTTAAAAATTATTTCAGTTTACATAATAACTTTGTAGTATAACCTGTAGTAACCTATAGTAAAACCAATCCTGATTTAATTGTAGGGGCTTAAAAGAAACATGAAATTGAATTTGAAAAAACATTAAAATAGATATTGAAACAACCGGACATCTAACAACTCAATAAGCGCATTGAACTATGTTACAACACTACGATGTTCTGAACATATTTCATACCTGATTAGCTATGCGGTAAGCAAGGGTTGCGTATAAACTTTCATTCAAAACAGATAAACTTTGAGCTTTCTCGATAGGGTGAGTAGAAATAACATAAATAAGATTTGAAGTTTGAATAACTTAATTCTTTTAAAAAAAAATAAGTCTTTTTATGGAGTTTCTTTTAAGTTAACTAGCCCATACCAATTAAATAGCAAAAGACTTGTTTAAAGTGCGGTTTAAATATATATTTATTAGATCACGAAAATGGTGTTGGTATTACAAATACTCTCATTTTCAAAATGTCTTTCTTCTATCATTAGTATTTTACCATATTATTTTATTTTACCACCGGTACACCGGCCGTGATAGCTCAGTGTCCGCTGACTCATTACTAAGTCTTCTCTTGACACAATGGAGGATTTAATATCTACTTAAGGACGAACCGCAGTCCTTGTGTGCACCAAACGTAAATCATCAGTGCAAATATACAAAGTATACGACTTGTCTTATTGATTTCTATTTTGTATCTGTTTACTTCACAAATGTCAAAGCAAACTGACATTTAACGCCATTTGCAAAAATTACAGCGTCTTCTACTAGGTGATTTGCGCCACCTTGTACTTGATGTCCCTGTAATATAATAATCACGAGGTAATCAATAACAGTAGAGCCGCCTACCCCATGGGCTATTAAATACACGATAGCTTGTAATTAAAACTTGCATAATTAAATTTTGTGACAGGTATCCGCAAAGGTGAAGTAAAATTGTTTAGTTTACCGGTAGTAGTCACGAGGCAAAATGGTGTTTAATGCCACGTCGGGGAATTTATTTAACTAGATAATGAGTTGTTAATGAAAATAAATTGAGAACAACAGAATGCATTAAAATTTAAACATCAACAGCAAATATAACGGCCACTATCGTAACCAAGACGAATTTACACACCCGATAGAATACACAACACGTAAATTAGTAAAACATTACCCTCTTTAACGTGCGGTTGGGAACTCGCCAGCTTGTTGTCCGTGTGTAGCGGTGTTTACGTAAATTGGTGATGATACACAAACATACATACACGGTAACAACAGTCATTTGCGCCTCTTAACCCTCTCCCGTTCTAACGCGTCGCACCTTTGCCACCGTCACAATGCAATGCGGTGTTTCTCAGCTTAATTGATGCATGTTGATTGAGATGTCAACGGGTGACCATCTATCATTCGTCTGTGAGGGTAACAACCTCGCGTAGATATTCCAGCAGCCCGCCCGCACCGTCCTCTATGTCTTATATGTAACGGGGTGGCCACGCAGCGACAGTTTGCCGGACATTCCCGCAGTTTTAGAGTCAATATTAATATTAATATGCGAATTGTTTATGGCAGATCATCATCCAGAAAACGGTCACAACCAAAACAACACTTTTCTCCATTGATTTGAATGAAGACCATTCCTCCACTCGACTCTATCAAACTGAGTTAATTTCACAATGCTATTTAATATCAAGTAACTTTCTTTAAAATGACCTCTCCGATTTGTATGCATATTTGTTGTACGTGGCCTATTTAAGAAATAATTATTAATTTTCTCGACAACTCACTTACTTCTAAAAATTGTAAACGGTAGTTTCTTACCTATATTCCCGTGTACTACCTTATTAATCTTATCCTGCAAGACGATTTACTGTCCGCTAAAAATAAAAAATATAAAAAAGTCTCTTATTATCTTAATAACACTACTTCACGGATTTCTTCGCCTTCATTTATGTGTCCTTCTGTCCTCCTCAAGATAGTCACCCTAATACGACCTCACAACAATTCCCACTATTCGACCCGTCCATTCGTATTTTTAATTGGGAATTAATCGAAGCGATGGCCGCTTAATTAAACCGCGACGAACGCACCTGTCCCCTGTGAAGCATCGCGCCAAGAAATAACGCAAATAAATTATTCCGCATGGCAACGGCTGTTTCGAGTAAAAACGCGTCGCGTTGCGGTATCGACTAAGGGGTTGGACAATTAGCTATGACGCGGAATTGAACACATGCGATTATTTGATATAGGTTTAGTATAACGAAAATATTTAATATAGAATGTATGGTGTGTAGGTGAGCAGAAACTCGTTAGAATATTTTTTTA